CTTATATCATTCTCTGCATTTAATTTTATTTATGTCAAAAATAGATTGATGTACACACACTAAATTAGATATTAATTCTAGAARTTAACAAAGGGACAAAAATCTGACACATGGGAAAGAAGGATAAGATGCTTAAGTCTTATTTGTAAAAGGTTGAATTACTATTGAAGAGTTCGTTAAAGTTTTGTAAMTGAAAGCTTGGTCCCTGTCCCCAGTGCAATCATTGCCAATTTAATCATGAGGACACAGTTTTGAGAAAAAGGAAAAAGAAGTTTTATTGCTGTGCTAGCAAAGGAGAAACACAGGAGACTTCTGTCCCAAAGGCTGTGACTCTCCAGATCAGGAGGGACAAGGAGGTTTTAAAGGACCTTAAGGGTCACATCAGGTGTGCTCTGGTAGGGGATCCCAGAGTGCCCAGATGGCTGTCAGGATTCACTTGTTGATTTGGGAGATATTCACTTCCCAGATCCTCAGTAGGCATCTCCTCCAATAGTGGGTATATTCAAGGGCAGTTAACTAGGGGAAGAAGGGAGAAGAGAGGAAAACAAATAAATAAATAAATAGATAGATAGATAGATAGATAGATAGATAAAACATAGAGCAACGGGGGCTATATTCAGAAGGTGAAGGGATCACTGTTACAGTTTTACATAAATTGCTATAAGAAATGGTATAACATGGGCCATAAATATTTTGACATTAATTATTCGGTAAGAGGAGAAGTGGGGTGATATTTCTTTTTTCTTTTTTTTTTTCCCACTAATAATCTCCAAATAACTTTCTCACCTTATTTTGTCCAAATAACCTTCTTACCTTTCACTTTGACACTGCTATGATTTAAATACAAGACTTTCTAAGACTCCAAAGAGGAAGGATTCTCAAATGCACTGCAATACAATCAAACTGGTTAAATGGAAGCATGTGGAATCAGCTTAGGCCTGAATTATTCAGCTCAAGGGCAGGCTTAGTTTGTTTGAATGAAATGAGATATAATTGATTATCAGATTCAGGCTTGTGCCCCTTAATAAGACTGGATTAAAACCAATAATGGATAAACAGCATAAATAAACTAGAGGGAAGCATTTGCCTCTAGAACTGTAATAGTGGTTAGACAGTTGCAGTTCATAGGCAAAGTATAGTTCCCAAACTTTAGTGTTTAACCAGGATCACTTGCAGAGTTTGTTAAAACACATTCAGGGCTTAAAACACAGAAAGTCTAAATACTTGGTCTGTTGATGCTACCGACCCACTCGCCATAGCTGGAGTATCTCTGGTCTGGCATGCATACCCATTGTCACAAGAATATCAATTGGTCCACGTCCTGACATCACTACTGAGTAAAAAGCCAGCAATGTGTGCTCCTGAAGGGAGAGGAGCTGCCCAATGTTTTCTTTTATTGGCATGGTCTTATATTTCAGTTGGGAAACTGATGAACTTTCAAAGACTTTAAGTTGCTTTCAAATATTGGCAAAAGGTTAACAGCACACATGCTTTTCCACCCTTGGGTCAGGTATATTAATTCACACAGGAAGATCTTTGGAAACTTTACCCAAATTACTGTTGGATTGTTGATTTCAAAACTAGGGTGACTAGATCTACCCTTTGTCTATGGAGTGGGAGCAGCCTTGTATTTTCAGAAGCGGTGTGACTCAAATGGACCCAGTGTTCCCATTATCTGCCTGGTTACTGTGCTTTTTTAGTGATAGTACAGCGTGCTACAATATTTTTCTTTGCAGCTTAAACATTGAGCAAACCCAGACATCCGGAGATGCTAAAATGAAAAATCTGTTTCCTCTTGTTTTCCCGTTTGCCAAGTGAACTCTGTCAGACAGCACATTCTATACATTTCAAGTAAACGAAATTACCCTTAATGTGTTGGCAACATCTGTCACAAAACACTCTTCCGTCTATGGCTTAAATGCGTTGAGTGGGAATAGAGTTGACAGTGTATTTAATAAGCTGCAATTATGGTTGAGGGCACTAGTTTTTACCTTAACCACCATAAGGTTTTTCACTTTCTTTTATGCCTTCCTTTTCTCTGTTTCTTCTTTTTATTTGTTTTTAGTCTATGCTATACAAAAGAGATTCTGTTCTCTTTGATAAGCAAAGTACTGACAAGGACCTTTCTTTTGTTGTAGATAGTCAACAATTAAATCTCCTTAAATGGTCCCTGACAAAGTATCATCAAAAAAAAAAAGTGTTTTTTTTTTTTTTTCAATTATATCCAGCTAATTCACTAATTGTAAATTTCTCGCATTAAAGAATTAATGTTCTTTATATGGGAATTCTTGATCCACTGAATATTTGTATTGAATGTGAACAAGAGTGTATATTCTTACATATGCTCACCTACACATTCTTTTATTATTGTTCATTTACAATAACTGATCTATTTAAGAAAGGAATTTTTCCCTTACATTATTTTTCCATTCTGTGCCTCATGCTGCTATTTACAATTTCAAATTATGACAAATCCCTTCCCACTCTTCCTTTTGATTGTCAGGTTCCTGGTTGATACACAGAAGCAGCACATTGGCGTCTGTAATCAAATGAGTCCCTATTCACTGCTTTCTAAGAGACCAGACAGTCCTTCCTAAATTAATTCCAAGTGCAGGCATTCAATCCTTCTATTCTTATCAGGCATAAATTTTGATTGTCCCTTGCAGGCTACACTGCCCTAACACTTTTGCATACAGCCTCCCAAACAAAGAAGAAAGTCTACCTCACATGCCCTTGGGGAATCCTGTGGGGGGAAAGGGTGACCTTCAGGACCAGGAGAAGAAAGTGTCCTCACAAACACAATTTGGTCTTTATCTCTGATTTACATAAATGATCCATGATTAGAGGGGCATCTGGAATTGTGGTAGCTAAGCTCTGTTGGAATGTCTAGGGGYAGATATTCTAAGAAGAAAGCGTAAGTCTCAAGTTCAAAAAGAGAATTGAAGTCTGGTGGCTACTCAGGATTGGTATGTTGTAAAAGTGCCACATTTTGATTAAGAAATGCTCCAGGACTTCCATCTTAACTCTGAGGTTATTCTATAATTTATCCCTAGGTGATTTAAGAAGAACCCTAGTTCTTCTTAAAGTGTTTACTTCTGGTCTGGCACAACAAATACCTGAAATGAAGGCCAGTAAGTATTTAAAAAAAAAAAAAGGAAAAAAAATGGTAAAATTGGTAAAGAGTTTCAGAAAGCAGGAAGAAAAAAATGATCTGTCTGAATTAAAATTAAAGTTTATCTTAGTTATTATCTTTCTCCTTTAAGAAATATCCTGATGAAAGGTAATTCAATAAAGCATCAAGAAATTAAAAAAAAACACAAACACACAACTAGGTTTAATTACAACTACAGGCCTAGGAAATAGCATATGTTTCCTGATTGATTTCAGCATGAAAGGCCAAATGCCTTGGTGAAGAAAACTGGTTCTAGATATCAAGTATTTCTAAATATTTGATTCAATTTGTATTCTCCCTGAAAAAGAATGGGGAGGAGCCCATAGGGAAGGCTGAGTGGTAGCCTATCTTTTAATAGATGCAATGAGAAAGTTGGATTTGAATAATATCATACGTAATTGATCATCCTAAGCAAAAATATTTTAGGAAACATTTGCTCATGGGTAATTAGTTTGGGTGCTGAGATCTTGTTATTTACATGCATCTGTCCTAGTTTATTTCTTCAAAATATTTACATACACACAGGGGAAAATAGTAACAGTGAAGAAAATAATATTTAGGGAAAAACAATTTTTTAGGTATAAATTATTTTATTACAACTGAGTATTTAAATGGATTGCTATGAACTTCTGACCTATAATCTTTGAAATGGGGTATTACAATGATATAATCTGAAAGCTTCCATCCAACCCTAATTTTTAAATTTGGCTTTAAAAAAAATATTGTCCCTAGTAGGATAGGGAAAGAGGAGTAGAAGAGTACCAGGTCCTGACTCCATTCTTCACTAGCTTTGTAAYACCTGGTACATGCATGAAAATCTTTCAAATGTATACTTTTTGTATTTCCAACAGTTATAAGGAATCAAAATATGAATTCTAGTAACACACCTTTCATAACATCTTATAAAAACCTTGACATTTTTCCTCTTTTGAAAAATTATAATTTATGGATGAACATAAAAATTCAATCATTTTAACAGAGGTCAGTGTTCTTTTGAATTATGTCAGAAGTACAAATAGAACATAGGTCAAAAGATCAGGAGGAAAATACATGGAAAACAGCACCTTTAATATTTAGGTCATTAATGTTAGATTTTAATATGTCTTTCAAAGACATCCAGTCAAAAACCCATCTGAGCTTGCCTTATTCTTTCAGTGTTAGATTTTTTTCCCCTAGTGTTAGATAGTATGGGGGCTATCAAAAATACATATCTAGCCAGGTACAGTGGTGCATGCCTACAATGCCAGCTACAGGAGAAGCTCWGGCAGGGGAGTTGCAAGTTTGAGGTCAGCCTGGACAACTTCAGAGACCTTGTCTCAAAATAAAAACTAAAATGGGCCGTGGATATATGTCAATGATAGAGCACCCCCAGGTTCAATCCCCAGTACCAGAGGGTAGGGGTAAAAATTACTTATATAAATCATGGACAAGTGGAATAAACCCMAAATTTTATTGAATATCAAAAATAGTGAATTTTCATTAATGTTCATATTTTTAGTCAGAGAAATTTACATATAGAACAGTGAAAGTGTATTCAAATATGATTTATTTGAATATATTCTACATCAAATGTTAGAAATATAAATGATATATGTTTAGATATATCACATATAAATCACATCAGAGAAATGGAAGTTGTTAATGCCATCTATTTAGCAGGCACAAAATGACATGCATGAATATAAAATTCATATGAGGCTAAATTCAGTCTTTTCAGTAAAAAATAAATAGATTTGATGTTAACAGAAAAACATAGTTTACTATAATTAATTAAAAGAAAAGTTTCCCTGCAGAATATGTTTTCAGATGAACATTTATRTGCTTGTAGGGTGCTGTGATTACACCAACCATGGACCATCCTATGTCCATGCAGCCAACCAACATGATGGGTCCCCTGACACAGCAGATGAACCACCTCTCATTGGGAACAACAGGAACGGTGAGTTGATGTTTGTTTTGTTTTCTTGGATTTCACTAAGATGTGATACTGTTTTCATTGGCATTGTTAGTGAAACTGGTTCTGAATATTCATCTAACACACCTAYCACATTCCAGTGTGAATAAGCCGTGTTCATGCATGTTCAATTCCAGGGCAAAATTACTCACATTGACAAAGTTAAGGGTTCAACTGTGCTGCATTTAAACTTCAGTTAGAACGCAATGTGTGAGGTATAATGTCTGTTTTGGGAAAGGAAACCTCTTAAGTGCATCTGCAAATCTAGAACCTGTGATTATGTACTCAAGCTTGGTTTACCATTCCCAGCTGCTTACCAGTTCACCCAATATATCATTAACAGGTTCTACACAAGCTAAAGGAGCCAACTGACTATGCTCATAAAAAGCTTTTTTTATTTTATCATCAATGCTTAAATTAATGAAAATCTATTGAGAATTTGACATAATTGAATTCTTTTGGAAAGGATGACAAAGATGATATTGAAAAGAAAGAAGGGAATCTAATGTGCTTGCTRTTTTCTTATAAGTTGGATATTTTTGACTAGTCCTATTTGTTTTTCCTTGAGGAACAGAATTGTCCTGAGAAAATATCTATTTCAGTTTTGATTTTATATCAACAAAGCATTTGGAATCATGGGCAAAACTTCATTATTTTTTTAAAGATAATTCCCCATATGTTCAAGAAGGCAGATACATACTAAAATACTGAAATTTTGTTAATTGCCATTATTAAGAAGGGTGAAAACAGCATGTGATATTAGCAGTTAAAGTTTTTTTTTCATTAATGTTAGTGCAGATAATCTTATCAGTTTTAAAGATGTAGAAATAAAATAGATTTTATTTTGACTGAGGCAGCTTAAATATTTTAGAAAGAATAATGGACCAAGAATCAAGAATCCTAGATCTAAATCTTTATTGAGACCTCCTTTTCTTTCTGTCCTCAGGAAAATAGAATCATCTGGTCATAATTTCCTTCTTCACATAGTTGAAGCTTTGCACTTGATAGATGGGGCCCTTTGAACTCTATAATTTTATATCCTTAAGTCTATATGCATCTTAGTCATCACTTCTGTGGTTCCCCACAGAGGTGCTGGGATCATTTGCAGAGATCTATGTACTTATGCACACTAGCTGTGCATTTGGGAATGTTACCTTATAGTGGTGGCTTGCTGTCTTTTAGTGGTTGTTGACTCATAGGCTTTATAGAATATAAGAAGTTTCTGACATGACCACTGAGGCCTTACTAATATGCCCTAAATAAGAAAATCCATACACCTTAATGCAAAGAGTCACATTGTTTCAATAAGGACATTTAGTTTTATTAACATGAACAAAGTGCCTCTCTCTAAAGCCTCAGTTGTTGAACATATAAAAAGCAATTAATRATAACTTACCTATCTGAATGCTTGGTCAGGATCAAGTTTTCTTAGGTTTCAGATCTATATTTTTGGAAGCCATTCCTCAGACTATAATTATTATAATTTTAACTATAAACTATGGTACAGATCATTTTCATCAAGGAGATAGAGTTTGAAGATAGTATTTTTATTGCTTTCAGTAATGTGTGAAGATTATTATTATTTTTTGAGGTGGTACCAGGGATTGAACTCAGGGGCACTCAACCACTGAGCCACATCCCCAGCCCTATTCTGTATTTTATTTAGATACAGGGTCTCACTGAGTTGCTAAGCACCTCACTTTTGCTGAAGCTGGCTTTGAACTCTCAATCCTCATGCCTCAGCCTCCTGAGCCCCTGGGATTACRAGAGTGTGCCACTATGCCTGGCTAAAGATTATTTGTAGTCGATTTGTATATTACTAATAAAGCAAGTCCCAAGTACAGKATTTTCATTTATTTGTTTACTTACTTTTTTTTTCTGGTGCTAGGGATTGAACCCAGGCCATGTGCATGCTAGGCAAGTGCTCTACCACTGAGTTACATCCCCAGCCTAGGTGAAGTGTTGGGAGGCCTAAAGATTATCATATTTCCATTATAGACTGCCTCCATTATCACCTTCCTTTTCCTTCAATGATTATAAATTCTTTATGAGCATAGAAATGCAATTTTACTGTATTGCATGAAAAGCTGAAATCTGGTAAATTAAAAAAAGAAATTGCAGTGTAAATCATAGAAACCCCTTATAAATTTTACCTGTTGGAATCAAAACCAAAACCAGTACTTGCTAAGATTTAAGTGTTTGTACTAGTGAAAATATAAGAGCTGGGTTAAGTGAATATATGTCTGAAATTCTTTAGTAAATTAAAAAGTAAGCTAAAAGATACAGAACAGACTAAGAATTATAATAATCATTGATTCAACAAGAAACATATGTTTGTGTATTTGAACATTTTCAATAAGCATGCATTTATTTGTATCCACAAGTTTTAAACAGCTGGTAACAGCCAATAATAATAGTAATTCAATAATGATAGACACTGCTCCCTTACTTAGAGAATAGAAGTTTTGAACATGTGCTTAGCTTTAGCACCAGATTTCCTCTAGCTTTTTTTTTCTTTTCCTATTCATTTCTTCCTTTACATTTGCAACTAAATAATGCTTAGAAACATTATAAGCCTTTGTATAACATGATAGTATGCAAAAGTTTAAATTTTAATGAGGTTTTAAGGGAGGCAGAAAAAGACTATTACTTTGTTGATTCATTCAACAAAACATCATTGTTTAGTGTTTAGAATGCTATTATAATTTTTTCTTAAGCTGTGACTATAATCCTTTGATATGCCATCATATATTCATTTTATCTAAAATTTTCATTGGCATTTGGAGTGGCCATTATGTAGTGGAGGTTAGTTTCCCACCTAATTGCTTCTTTCCAACATTTCCACTGATGGGAAAGCAGCCTGGAATCATGGAAAGTCCAATGGGCTTTGGAATCAAACTTGAGTTCAAAGCCTGGCTCTACCCCTTCWTTAAGCTGTGCATGTTTAATCAGGTTACTTATTTATTCTCTTTGAACCTTTGCTTCATCTTTTACAAAGTAGGAATAATAATATGTATATCCCAGTGATGTTGTGAGTATTAAATCACAGTGTACCTAGTCCCGTGTTGGTATGTGCTTATAAAATAAGCTGTCCTTTTTCCCTCCTCCTCCAGTAGATTTTAAGTAGTGGAGTCCAATTAAGGTCTCCAGAAGGGTTGGAGCACACTATTTAATTCACAGTACAACTCCCTCATCTGTTTCATTTCAAGTGATATAACTGACTTCTTGAAAGTCTCCACCCCTTTAGCTGATCACAGAGTGTTCCAAGGTTGCAAACTCAAATTTCTCTGAAGCCTGGCCAAGTCATGTTAATGAATGAAGTTGACTGAGTTCAAGCATATACCTTGGAAATATATCATATAACTTTCTTTATATTTTCTAGTATTATAAACATAGTCACATCATACAGATATACATGAGACTGAGATTTTGTTTTAGATATTTTCAGTGGAATAAGAATAATATCTCTTCCTAACTGTTGGACAAATGATAGGGAGAGATGGTCCATTTGGCAACCTGAAATATGGACACCTTTTCAAGGAACCATAGCCACTGCTGAACTCCAGGCAGCTATTCCCAAACGGATATAAAGATCTAGAGTAGTCTCACCTTSCAATTTCTTAAGATAAACTGAATGTTTGGATTTTGATGTAAATCTTACTTATATTCTAATACTAGATCCAGTTTATCCCCAGAGCTCCCAGTTTGTAACCATTGCCCAAGATGGTCCTACTTTTCCTCCAAATTCTCAGAACATTCCTTCTCTTTTCTTTCATAGGTTGCTAAATCAGGATTTCATTATTAACTTACTGCTCAGGCCACATGATTTTCTTAAGCAATCTCATTCCCTTTCATGATTTTGAACCCTACCTTCTATGATGAAGACTGTTAAGTCTGAGTCTTCAATGCTAACCCCATTTTAGAATGTTGAAATCATTTATCCAACCACTTCCTATTTCCATGTCACTTTCCCTCCAACTTCTCAGAGTCAGCATGGCCCAAACTAATCTCAAGAGCTTTCCCTGAGCTTCCTTCCAACTGAACCCTCTTCATCTTGTTTGTTCCTGCCCCAGTTTTCTTTCAAGTTTATGCTATGACCAAACTAATGCCAGCAGCCAAACCACGCACCTAGGATTGGATGTGGACCCTGCCCTTCTCCCTTACCACCATATACAATTAAATTTTTTAAGACCCACTGATTGTGTCTCATTGACACATTTCCAGAGGCTCTGCTCTGAGCCTCATTTGGTTTTGTGTGATAATCTGTGTCCTAACTGCACTTTCTGCTTTCAGTCTCAATGTTCTCGAATCCATTCTACACCATTTTGCTGCAGCCAGTTAATCTAAAACTATACAACAGTGTCTCTATCCTGGGTCTCCTCAGAGTCTTTCAGAGATCTGAGCTCACAAAAGTTCTAAAAAAAAAAAATGTGAGAAGTGAGGAATGAGATTGAGATAAAGACCTCAGCTCCAGGAACAGATGGATCCCAAGGGCACAGAGCAGTGAGATCCAGTGAATCATTCAGAATAGGGCAGTACTCAGGAGTGATGGGGGGAGGTGGAGCTAGATTAGAATTTGTTTCTTTTCTTTTTTTTTTCTCTTTTTTTTTTTTTTTGAAGGGTGTTGATGACCACAGGTTTTTGTCCCACTTTTTAAGATTCCTGGCTAAAATAATTGCATTGTGCTAAAACCTCTTTTTCATCTTCATAAAGGAGATATATTTCATCCCATGTAACCCCAAATTTTGAAATGGGTGCCATGGTAGTTAAATATGCCTTTCTCTCTAATTTGCCACTTCAAATATTTATTGTTCAATTCTCTACCCATTTTTAAGCTGGACACAATCTATAGGCTTTAGGAGAAATGAATCACATGCAAACAGTGTTACTCTTTTAGTCAGTCCATGGCTCGGCTGACCTTGAAGAATTTTTCTAGCTTTTCTGCTTTTTTTTTTTTTTTTTTTTTTGGTCACAGGATTTCTTTGATGGAACCAAAGCCCCATTATCCATATTTTCTTATCACTTTATTGTAAGCTTTAGCAGAAGCCACTGGGGACTTTGACTGTATTATGAGAATCTCTGAATTGCATGACAATCTTGTTTTACAAGTTTCTTATCTCTTTTTTATTTGTTCAGTTGCTGGTCACCAGTGGCTTACAATGTCACCAGAATCTGTTTAAAGAAATAAAAAGATTTTGTTCTGAACGTTCCTTATCTGCCGTTTAGTTTCTGTTTCTCTGAGCCTCTGATGATTTGTGACATCATTGGATTTCCATGGTGTGACCATAGCTACTCACAAAAATTATCTTGTAATTGGTCCTCCACTGATTTCCCATGGTTCTCTAGTGTCTTTCACTCATATCACTCCTTCACTGCTCCAAAACTCCTGTGGTACCAGGTAAAAATTATTCATTGCACTTTAAGAGTGTCTTTTATCCATTATTAGGTATGAATAAAAGTATCACATCGGAGAATTGTAAGAAGCGACATATAAGGTATCATATTGACTCCAAGATCAGTAAATACTATCATAAAATGATAATGAGTACAATTCCTTAAGTGCATTTTCAGGGAAAAAATCAACTATTTACAAACACACACAAGAAAGAAAATAGAGATAGAGAGAAATAGCTTTTAAAATTTATTTAGTCTTATTGTAAAATAAATGAACTTTGAAGGGTAGTTGTACAACCTATGAACAAGTAGATATTAAGTGAAAGTTGAATATCAAGAAATATTTATTTGCTACTATTAAACTTTTTGCTATTTATAAAAATAAATTAACAATGCAATAGAAAAGTCTTAACACATAAAATGCCAGAGCATGAACAGATAGTTGAAAGAAGGAAATAGAATGCTAAAAGATGTGGAAAAAATTATAATCAAAGAAACAAAAGATATAGCCAATTCACACATGCATGTTGACCTAACACACACACACACACATCTCATCAAAGAAAATCATCAAAATCATGCACATTATACTGAATGTATAGGAAACATTTTCATATATAGTTTGTATCATGTAGTAACCTAAATTTGCACAAGAATCAGTAGATAGCGAGGTGCACAGTCAAAACACCTCAGAACATTTATCCTGGCTGAACAGATGGTTATAGTTTTGAGAAGCCAGTCTATAGAAATATTCTAAAGTAACATAGTAGCTTTTATGCCTCACAAATGTATGATGTAGCTTTTTAAAATAATATCTAGTAAATAACCATTAAATTATAAACCATCCATAAATTCAAAAGGTAATGCCTACATTATAAAAGTTTAAAATAATTAGAAAAAGAGTTATGTATACAATTAAAGCAAATTGTTGAATATAAATTTGTACTTGTGAAATACAAGATCAACTGTGAAAAATATTTATAAAATAATGCTATAGAGAAATACAAAGCAAGTGTGGCTATTTTAAGAGATGGGATTTGGGTTAATATCTATTTTAATYATTATACTTTCCTGTATTCTCTAGTAATCAACAATGAACATTATTTGCTTCTATTTACTTTTAAATGTTATAAATATATTTTTGGAAAATATCAATGGCGTAATCCAAAAATTAACTTTTTGTTTGTTTTTGTTTTGGAGTGGTAATGATTTTGTGATTGTGATTTTTTTCTTAAAGGTAACTGGTGATTACTACCACTGTTAACAAAGCATTTGGAGAACACTTTAAAAATAATTCTACTTCTTCTAGATTTGGAGATTATAATTAATTCACTAATTCCCTTACCTGTTTTGAAAAACAAAATCACTCCTAACAGGTTTATTTGCATTTGAATCTTTTGCCATGCAGTTGGTCAAAGTGCTTTGTTATGTTCAAGTTCTAATCTGTCTTCACACATGCCATTGACTCCAGAGAGTGATTAATATTATCCTTTTGTGAAAGGAGATGAAAGTGAGAATTTTGTGAGAGTCCCAAAGTTATCAAATTTCCAGAAGAATGAAGTTCGGACCTTTAACTTTTAAAATGGAATACAGATCATATGAATAAGAGTTCATACAAGAGCATCTATTAATCATGTTTTGGCAGTTTATTTGAATGCATATAATACCAGGTCCCTTTTATAATGTATCCCCCCCAAGGAGAGTTGGGGAAGGATTAAAATTTTCCTTTTTTAGAAAGGGGGGCTAAGGCCACAGACTATGTCCCACTTTCCTTTTTAAGATCCCTGGCTAAAGGAATTGTATTGAACCAAAGTCTCTTTTTCATCTTCAAAAAGCAGATATATTTGGTTCCCCATGACCCTACATTTTGTGATGACTGCCATATAATTTAATGAAGCTTTCTCTCAAATTTCCCCCCCTCCAACGTTAGGACACTTTGGAAAAAAAAAAAAAAGAAAGCTACCTATTTAATAGGTTCTGGTCTTTGTATCTCTGTTCCCACAATTATAACACAAAAAGCTGCTCCACCCAGGTGGAGCAGAAAGCACTGTCTGCTCTGCCTCTGATCAGAACTGCAGCTGAATAACTACTCACAAAACTTGGGCTTCAAAATGCATAAGCCTCCACAGAGTCTGAGAATGTGCAAATGTTTCATTTTTCTCTTTTAAATTTTAGTTGTTCCTATGGTTCTCCAGGACTTTGCTTCMTATCATGTTTGGACGCCTCCAAATGTAAACTTTTTGTGTCGTCCAGGGAGGGTACAGATTTCATATTGATTTTTTTTAAGGGAGGAATCCAACAGACTGAGGGAGATGACAATGTCCCTGTTGTCCCAGCGGGTCATGCTGGTTCCAAGACCATGTGCAGCCGCGTGAGGGTAATGGGAACCATGGTGTCACCTGTGAACTAGGGTCAGAATGCCTTGAAGGCAAGGGGTGAGGTGAGCTTGTGACACACAATGGGCCGTTCCAAGTTTTAAAGCTAAAATTCTATTTTATTTTCTTTTGTACTTCATTGCATTCTTTCTCATGCTCTTTTCATTCAAAGATTCAATCCCAAGACAGGATTATGATACTCCACCAGCTGTTGTGTCAGGTAGGAAAATTCTCATTCCTTTAAAAGACTTGATTGGAGGGGAGAGATGGAGGTTGCCTGCCTTTCTCCACAACTCTTGAAAGCAGTGATTCTCAATAGGGGTGGCCACAGGAAATTTGAATGTCAGTTTGGCAGGGGGTATATGTAGTTTGGAAAAGTGTATTTAATATGATAATCCAGCTTTATGCCTGGAAAATGAATATATCGCTTTTTAAATAGAAAGGACACATTGTCTCCAAGGATACACAGAAGATAGAGTCTGTGTTCTATGTATCAGTCAGTCTCAGCATTGGACAAGGTCTCCAGAATTTTTGAAAAGGGGGAGAAGGATTTTATATTAAGCCAAAAAAAAAATATTAAAAAGGGCACAGATTAATTAACATAGATTGAGAAGCACTGCTTTAGAGAACAGAATTCTTCTGAAATCAGAAAATCATCCCATTTTGCTTGCTCGGCATCCAGTGCAGGGTACTCAATATAACTATTTGTTGAATGAATCAAAAWTTTAAATTTATTCCAAAAATTATATTTTGGGTATCATAAGTGAAACCACTAATATTCCATTTATACAATAAAATGGCAGAGGTTCCTTGAAGAACAAGACATCAGGGTCTTGAGGATTTTAATTAGCAATACTTAAGTTGTTTCATAAAATTTAGTGATGAAGCCAGGGTATGTATGTATGAAGAAGTTAGTTCTTATTTTGAACTGCACAGATCCTGTGCTTTTGTATTAAGTTTGAGTTTTGGTTTCTTGCAAAGTGGAAAGTGGATACAATGGTTCATTTTTGTTGATTTTTTTTTTTAATTTGATGAAATACTGGCAGTTTGAAGAGCTTTGTACTCTATGATCCCTTGATATGTTAGATGGCAAGCACATAAAATTAAAACTAAGAAGGACATTGGAAAGAGCAAGAAACAATGTCTAGAAACAGACTTAAAGAGCCCACAGAGTAGTTGAGTCTGGCMTTGGATGGTGGCTTTGAAACAGGGAACTTCATGTTTCTGGCCCCCCCTCTTGCTTGACCCAGCATCTGAAGGGTAATCTTTTTCTCATGTCTATGTATTGTTTAGTTATGCTCATGGCCAAATACTCATCTTGGAATTTTAAGTAAGAATGTCCCCATTGAAGAACCATGTGAAGTTATTTGGGTTCTCTTCAAGGTCTATATAAATTGCTATTATTTAAAATATCACATCTTTCCCCAACGTGTATTACCTGCCMTATCTTTAATGTGCCTTTTTTTCATTTATGTGACATCATGAATAGACTGTTTCATGTGTTCAGCTTTTCTACTTGAACATATGGCGTCTTTGTTTAACMACAGGCATCTATCTGCTCTTGATAATTTATCAATGCAAATAATAATAAAAGACAWAAGACACAATCTGGAGCTTTCCTTCACATAGGTGTCCTGATTTCACTTTCCAGAACACAATAGGAAAAGCAATCAAAATGTCAGAAGTATTTACTAGATACCCATCAAGGGTCAGGCTCTACCCAAATCAATTGAAGCAGAAACCCTGGCTGAAAATCTATGCTCTGAAGTTTCCATCTGGTTCCGTAAACAGTAGTCACTGAAAGTTCTTGAGCAGATAAATGATTGGATAAAAGTAATACTTTAAGAAACTTGATCTAGCAGTTTTGTGTGTGCTCAAAGAAGAAGAAATAGGATTGCACAGAAGAGCTAGAAAACCAGATGTATTTACAATAAAAAAAAAAAATGTTTCTAAATTCCAAGAAGTGCAGTACACAAAAAGGGACCAGTAGATTTTCCATATGAAAAATAGCATTTTAGAAGATTTTATAGTTATTTCTCCCTTATAAGATTTGATTGCTGGTTTGATGAAAACATACAGATCTTTTTAGTCTATCTTTAAGTAGAAATAGACCTGCCATTCTAATGGGAGAACTTCAGTAACTCTTGAAAAATGGTATATTCTTTACCCAACCATGATCATATTAGAAAATTGACACAGGCCGTGGCATTATAGTATCTCCTTTCCAATTATCTCAACTTGCCAATATTGGACAATTCAAATTGTTAATTCTTTGCCAGTGTAGGAGCCAATCAAATTATTCTAATTTATTGGAGTCAAGATATCTGATTGGATAATCTACAAAAACATAACCCAACCTAATTTCATTTACTCAATATTTCAACCACTTAATGAACAGTTTACAGGAGCTAGATACTGCATTCAAGTATTGGTGATACTGATATACTATAACCAGCAATTAAATCTTACAATACTATAAGAATAGGAAAAAGATTATTGTAAAACATATCAGGATTATTTGTGGTGTTAAATGTATAGAGGGAGGAGGAACAAAAAATCTAGAAAGAAGGTTTGAAACTCTCAGGGAAAAAGAGAGTTCTGAGCTGGATTTGGAAGAATGAATAGGAATTCATCACCTGGGTAAGAGTGGGAAGGTGTAATAGGCAAACAGGATATGGAAATTCTTATAAATAGGAAAGATTTAGAGGTATATGATAATTCATTTGATATTGTTGGTGCAAAATATCACTCTGACATATACCAGAATTACATCAATATAAATCTGATTTGGTGTAAGGATCCTTTCTTCTTGGAGTCGTGTATCATCTTATTCCTTTACTTATTTATATGACATTTATTGGAAGAATATTGTGTGACAATCATCATGCTAGGCACTAGGAATGGAACTTCCTTCTAAAAGCTTAGAAAGTTAGATAGAAGCAGGTTATTACAAGTGGCATAAATGCTTCAATATTAACAAAACTTATGATGTTTGTGAACACACAAATAAGATACCTCAGTCCTACTTGTGTCGTTTACYAGTTGTGGAAACTTGAGAAAACTTAACCTCTCTGTCGCTTAGATTACTTATCTGGGGAAGTAACAAAAACTTCGTAGAGTTATTTTAAACATGGAGTAAAATATATAACCTGCTTAAARTGCATCCGGTATGAAAGTGCTACAACTATACTACCATTATTGGCATGAGATATTATGGTGGTACAAAGAAAGAACAAATAACATATGAGGAGATGTCAGAGAAAGGGTCCCAATGGATGAATTCTCTAAATACAAACATAAGAACACTTAGGAATTAGCTAAATAAAAGAGTGTATCTGGGGAGAGTTTCAGATCAAAGGAGGCAGCATGTTCAAAGAGTCATGAGGATAGTGTGTATTGAGTTCAGAGAACTACACATGGTCAAAAAGGGCAAGGATAGGTTCAGAGATAWGGGGAGTAGAGTAATGAACCTGAGAAGTAAATAAGCAGAAACCATATCACAAGACAGGTAGCTTGGATTGTTTCCCAATGGCAACAGGAAGATATTAAAAAGTTGTGAGTTGGATGTGATCTTTCTGACTATAAGGTCAAGAATATAYTGGAGAAGAGCAAAAATAGAAGAGAGGGAAATGAACTGAAGAATCTTTGGAAGGATCATGTTGGCATGTACTCAAGTTGTGTAAAGGACAATAGAAAGATTGGTGAATGTGTGACAGGTTAAGTAGGTAGAATAATAGGACTTGGTAACCAAATGAATATCAGGAGAGAAAGAGAAAGATGATTTAAATTTGGCTTATAATTTCCTCAGTGCCCTGAAGTATCTTTTCCCAGGATTTAAACCACAGAAAGRAGGATCAGGTTTGTGAGCAAAAGAGATAACTTCAGTGCTGAACATGCTGAGTCTGAGATGCCTAAGATGCAGCCAGACAGAGATGCTCAATAGATGCTGAATGTATGTGCTTGAACTCAGAGGCCRTCTCGCGCAGAGGTAGATTTGGGAATTACCACCATGGATTTAAGCCATGTTTGCCCACAGAATGTGCTTGAAGTGAAGTAACCAGAACTTAAAAATAAAGAATGGATAGAAAATGGAGCCCAAAGGAGAGGTTGGATAAGACAACTATACATGTAGAAGGGAAACAAGAATATGAAGTTTTAAAAATCAAAATCATGATAGTAATTCTAAAGAGTACTATCCAGTGACATAAATCCTGAAGTTTTGTTATGTACACACACAMAMAAAAAAATTTGTTATATTGGCAAAATTCAATTTTGTCATTGAATTTTGTTATATGGAGATCAATAGTGAATTTGATGGTACAGTTAAGGGTAAAAATCAACAGCATTCAATGTCATGTAAGGAATGATTGTAACTACTACAGGAAACAACAAATTGGTTTTGAGGAGAAGTAGAGAAATGATAAAAAAAATTAGAGAAAAAAACTAATTGATTTATTGATTTTGATGAAAAATAATGGGAAGATAGTTCTAGATAGTTCTAAAGCTTAAAGAATGTGATTCTTAAGGGTAAAGACAGAAGGAAGAGATAATGTAGGTGCATGTAAATCCGTAAAGGTAGAAATAAGGAGTTAAAGGATTTCCCAAATGATACATTTTATTTGTTTTTATACGAAGTATTAAGTGCCATCATCTTCTGAGAGTGGCTGGGAGATGGCATGGTAAGAATTTAAGGTGAACAAAGATTTGGAAAACTGAGGAGTCAGAGGGTCAACAAGAAATAGAAAGTTGAAGGGACCTGGGTTTATTTGAAGCTATAAACTATAGATTATTTTCATACTTATTATGGTTTAAACTGGAATGTCCCCCTCACAAAAAGAAAATGCTCATGTGTTATGAAGTGCAGCAATATTCAGAGATGGAAAGATTAGATTTTGTGAGCTCTGATCTCATTAGTGGATTAATCCACTTGATGGATTACTAATTTGAATAGAYTACTCAATGGTAACTATAGGCAGGTGWTGTATAGCTGAAGGAAGTAGATTGTTAGAGATATGACCTTAAGGACTATATCTATCCCTGTTTCCTTCTATACTCTCYTTCTGCCTCCTAAATGTCATGAATTGAACAGTATTCTTCTGCAATGCCTTTCTGCCACAATGTTTCTGCCTTGGAGATGACCATGAAACCACATAGTTTCACAACCAAAATAACTCTTTGCTCCTCTAAGTCATTCTTGCCAGGTATTTTGGTCACAGCAAT